AACGGAAAGTCTTTGAAGAAATTTAATGATAACTTTATGGGATTAAAGACTGTACTTACAGTGAATTCATAAAACAGGATCTAAAAGAAATAAGTAATAAGGACCTTGAATCAAGAAGCCCACACCTGCCAGTCTACGTGGAATGCCAGAAGCATATCCAAAAGAGACTGTAACATTAAAATGTAATAGGAGACTGAGCTCAAAATGCACTACATGATTTACTGCATATATTTATGTTGAGTAATTTGCACATACTTCCCATGATAAGAGGTGCGTCCCATGACTCCCAGTCTGTTCTCTCATCCACGTTGACTTCTGTATTAGTCTCCTATTGCTGCTGTAACAGATTACCTAAACTTAGTGGTTTTACCAATACAAATTTATTATCTTATAGTTCAGTAGGTAGTTCGGAAGTCCTAAATGGCTCCTGTTGGGCTAAAATGGAGGTACATATTCCTTTCTGGAAACCCTAGGGAAGAATAAGTTTTCTTGCTTTTTCTACCTCCTAGAGGCTGCCCACACTCCTGCATCCCTGGCCCCTTCCATCTTCAAAGCCAGTAATAGCCAGTCAAGTCTTTCTCACATTGCGTCACTCTGACGCTGACTCTTCCGCCTTCCTCTTTCACATTTAAGGACTCTTATGATTACATTGGGTAATCCAGGATAAACTCTATTTTGAAGTCAGATTATTAGCAACCTTAATTCCATCTGCGGCCTTTATTCCTCTTTGTTGTGTAATATGTGAAAATTCTGGGGATTAGGACTTGGACAACTTTGGGTAGGGATACGTGATTCTAACAACAGCTAGGAAGTTAAAAAATTAAGTGCCCTAATTAATGTTCTGTATAATAGTATGACAGGGAAGACCTTTCCTGAGCTGTAAAGCTTCTTATCCCTGGTCTCTTATACACATTAAACCATCTGAGAAACCAAGATTTATTTTGTTACCACAGGATATGCAGATATTAAGTTAATTTAGGAGTCATATATGAGAAGAAGAATTTTGTAGCCATCTCTAAAACTTCTCATGGTATAACTGAAGCAAATGAAACCCAGAGAGATTCCTGGTTCTTGATGTCACAGAAAGCCATTATTAGAACATCAAATTACTTCCACTTTCTCTACTTTCTCAATGCAATATTATTATCAACAGTTATTTACTATATAACTAGAGGAATGAAAAACTTGAAAAGTCATTTGCCTTAAGTTATAGTTTGAAATAGAAAAATAAAAATAGATACCTTAAATTGTATGTCAATCCTGGGCTAGGAATACAGTAGGTAGTACTGTTTCCATAACCTTTTCAAGATGGGGCTCTTATTAACCACACTGCTAGAAAGTGGCAGAGCCCAGATTTGCCCAACTCCAAAGCCCATACCCTGGCTGCAAGCATCTAGCCAGTCCACCACCATGGTATTATCATCAGGATGTGAGAAGTCATGTTCTTGACTTGTAAGATCTAAATTAAGTAATTTACCTTAGAAATTCACAATTGTTTTATAATTCCCAAGGATATGTCCAACTATTTCAAGTGATGCTGTAAATTTCTAAACATAAAATAGAAGTCATATTCTAAATTAACCTATTTATGTTAATTCACTTTATTAAGACTATTTATAATATACAACATCTCTTAAAAGAATTAATAGGAGAAAAGGGATAGCTGAATCAATCTAGTTGGTGTTAAACTCCCCAAAGTTGAAACTTAATACAATTATATTGTTTCTAACATTCAAAATCTCTCTCTCTCTCTCTCTTTAAAAGCAGGCATTTTCCGACTTAAACAGCAATTCATATAACTCAATATTTAGAATATTTCTCAATAGTGGTAAGTCAAGTCTAAGTAAAACAATACCATGATAATGTTACAGAAAACAGACATTTTAAATGGTAGATTTCAGGGTGTGGGTGAAAAGAGACATTCTTCTCCTTTGCATCATCTCCAACTATTTTTTTTTTGTTCGAGGATAAGATTGTTTACCCATTGGCCTTTTTTCCTTGCTTCTTTCAGAGTACTATGTAAGTGTTTTCCACTCCTTCAAGAGCGTGCAAAACATACCCCACCCTGTGTTTTGTGAATGTTGCCATCGTGAACAGATATTGAGTAACAGCCAGGGAAAAAGCCACACCATGATGCTTCCACATCGTCTGTTGGGAACAATCAGGAACATGAAAGGGCAAGTGAATTCTATCTGGATGGAGTCCATTGTACAGAGACATAGAGGCAGGAAAAGCCGAAGCACTAGAGGCTGAGGCACAGGACCAGTCCAAGCTGCTTCTGTGTTTTCAGTGATGAGTCAGTTAGGATGAAACTGATTGGTAAGTGAACTGAGGATAACTGTCCCTGTGTGCTTTATTTTATCAAATAACAATCTATTTTCTGAAGTTTTTCCCATGGGTTCAGCTCATAGACAATTTGGCCATTTTATTATTCTGAGCAAAGTCACATAGACTGCTGAAATACATTCTACTTAGTTTAAAGTATTTAAGTCAGTTATTACAGTGACAATATTCTGATCACTTTTGAATGCCAGTTGTATTTAGTGAGGGTCCTTGAAAGTAGTGCATTTTGTCTGGACTGAAAAAACAGAATGATTTAACTGTTTGCTATTTATATTAAACTAGTTCCCTCTATTTCATACCCAGACTGTGGCTAAGCTGTGCAAAAGCTTGAGTCCTTAATAATACATTGGAATTAAAAAAAAATTGGAATTAGAAGTGGAGTTGAGGGACAATTGTGATTTTTAAATCTTTTTTTAAACCTTAGCTTTGTTTAAAACTATAGGAAAAAAAACAGTTTTGAATTTCCTAAGTCTGTTGTTAAAGTCCTAGGTTGTTAAAATATAATTATTAAATAAGTTGTAACACATGTCAAAGATATCTATCTATGGAAAGAAAGAAAGTGAGGGAACATCAGGGGTTCCATTTTGAAAATGGTAAATAGCAGTTTCTTGATTACTAGAGTGATCATTTAAATAATGTGAAATATGTAATAGCCACGTATCACTTAGATTTTAATTTGGGGGCATATATTTATTTACTTTTCTATTTTATCTATCTTTCTAATTACCATTCTATCAGCAAGTGCCCTAATCAAAAACAAATTGCCTTTCATTGAGGTCCTGAAATGCTTTCTTGTGAATAAAGTACATTAACTTTAGCAGATGAATTTTATAATAATTATTTTCAGTTTTGCAATGATTTGCTTTGATTTTTCATTACTCTTTACTGTTGTGATGATTAAATAGGTTACTTTCACATGGGTGATATGTATTTCAATCTATATACAGTAATTGGTTATGATATGCCAGGAACATGTCCATTTATAAGGAATAAGATGGCCCATGTACATTCCAAGTATTTACTTCAGCTCTAATGTGGTAAATGACTCTATCCAGATAGAGTAACTGGGAGTTCTCTTTCGTATAGAAAAATAGTCTACATAAGCTGGATATCAATAAATCCAATCACTAGTAAATACTGAGTGTGTTGTACAACCAAGACACATAAAATATAGATATCAGCCCACATGTTTTTAGGAGGAGGGATAGAAAAATTAGGTAGCGCCTTACTTCGAGTTATGGAGCTTAGCGTTCTAGAAGAAGGCAGATACAGAACATAAACGTATGTGTGCATTTTTTTTATTCTTTTGTTTAAGTTGTGTGAGAGAAGTTAAATGGATGCCACACAGTTACATTTAAATAATGGGACCTCAACAACCACAACAACAAAAACAGAGAAAAAGGATATCAGTATTCTCCTGAGAAGAAGAAAACTGAAAGATGTGTCTTCAGTTTTGGATGATTCTTATTTGGGGTATGTGGTGTTGAGAGAGCAGAGATGTAAAATAAGCCTCTAAATTTATGAATTTGAGTAGAGAAGTTATTAACTGATCCAAATAGAGGCTGCATCTGGAGACAAATTTGGGAGTGATTAATTAGTGGTTCACTTTTTAAGCTTGGATGGGATTAACCTGGAAGAGTGCAGATAAAGAAAAGAAGGGGGATCAAGACACTTTAATTTATACAGAACTGTATGAAGAGCTTTAAAAACAAACCCTGAATAGCAGCACTCTGTGAATGGGGAGAAAGACCAGGAGAGTATCAAACCATGAAGCCAAAAAAAGAAATATGTTTCAATAAAGAAGCTATAGACATTTGTGTTGAGTGCTGCTGAGAAGTTAAATCATCTGCTTATGCCTGAAATTAAGTTGTACCAGTTAAGTACATGGAGGGAGAGTAGACTGGGAAATGAGGGAGTAAGTCTAAAAATGGGCAATGGAATCTGAGTTACATGTATAAGGAAGGAAATAAAATAGGAGGTGAAAAATAATGATGAGGTTTGAGAAATCAATAGATTCAGTGAAACTGAAGAGTTAGATGTTAGTGTGAGTAGTAAAATAGGTGAGCTGAAAGTGTTGGTAATAAAGGAAGATGATTGAAATCAAGTTTTTGGAAATAGTGCAGTAATTAATGATGAGATAGAAGTATGTATAATCATGGGAAATATGGTGGAAGAAGGCAACACTGGAATGGAGAAGGACAAGGCAGAGAGGCCAGGCAGGATTTTAAATACATGGTCCATGTTGGCATTGAAACCCCCAAGATGTCAAGAGTAGAGTAGGAAAGACAATGTACTAGGTATCAATGGTTTGCTTAACTGAGTGTAATCTCTCCCTCTTTGAACTTTTAAAAACTCTGTACCTCCTTAGTAACTCATCTTGTTCTTTGACTTTTTTGTACTTGGTTTTTTTTCTTCTAAGATGAAGCAATGAAAACAAGTATGTTGCTGTCTCCTACAGCACAAAGCACAGGTTTTCTAATACAATGTTGAATGAATAAAAGATTATCAATAGTGACCCTAGGAAGCCTCTGTATGACTGAAGGCAGAACCATTTCATTAAGGGCAGGTCCAGTTTGGAATAGACAGGAGAATACAAAACAGTCATCTATTTTGAATATAACAATGCTTTAGAGAAATCATATCATATGACAAAGATATGCAGAAACAAGTAAAATTTATTTTAGAACTGATTTTTCAATTCTTAAATAGTACAAAAATAAACAGACATTTGTTTCAACTTAATTTTACATAAATTAATTTAATCATATATTTGTCTGAGGCACCAAAGCATTCAATACATACTCCAAATTCCCAGATTCAGTCAGATATTAACAACAAATCAGTTTTTTTATTTTTATTTTATTTTTTTAAATCAGTTTTTTTAATCAGTGAAGTTGATAGTTTTTTATACAAGCCCTTCTACTACTGACTTTCTTAACCATAACCCCTTTTATGTTTAATACAAAATCTTAAAAGTTCCCCTGAGTTATTTCTCTATAATGAACTTTCATTTTCTTCCTCTGCCAAAGAGGCATGCTTTTCAATTATTTACATAAATACTGATGTTATCTGTAATCAGTGCTGGATAATATTAAGACCCACAGTGCTTTGCAGACCGTCTTCCCCAGAAAGTTACAGTTGAATGAATTCATGAAACACCCACAGGTCCTTCAAAAATGTATAAAATGTCAGTCTTACAGCACATCCAGGCCAATGGAACACAATGTTCTCTGTGGGCTGGTGTATAGGTAAGCCTTAAAGACATAAATTCCAACCTTACATCTCAATATACCAGAGTTGGATTCCTAAAAATTTATTCACAAATCTTAATCCAATCATTTATCTTGTAGTAATAATAATTTATAGAGGTAATCCCGAAAGATACATTGATTCTGACATAATGCAAAAATCAATGATTGCAGCCTTAAACCCAGTTTATAACAATAACCATCCTAATAAAACATAAATAAGAGTCCTCAATAAATTAAATTAATATACAGTACCAGAAAATGTCAGCTGACCATGAGATGTGGAAAAGAAGCATTATCTTCCTGGGAACTATTCAGCGTTTGGTTTTGTTTTTAAATGAGAAAGGACATTCATTAGAATAGGAATAACTTCCTTGCTGTCAAGAACTCCCTATAGTTCTAAGGTGTTAGCCTCTGTAAGGCTTCTTTGGTTACACATGGTTAAAAATTATTTGTAAAGTTCTCTGCCTTTCACTTAAAATGAATGTATACCTTTTCATGAAGGCTCTTTGTAAGTTTTTTCTTCCCTTTTATTCCTCTTAAGAGGAACAAAATAGTAGTCCTGAGCTGAGGTTTTCCTGAAAACTTGCAAAAGTTCAGATAAGAAAATATAGACAGAGTCTAAAGAAAGACAAATTCAGATCTTAAAACCAGGAAGGCAAAATACAAGAAGCAGACTGATCAGAAGAGAATGTCTCTTAGCAAAATGGCTAAAAGATGATCATAAAAGGATCAGTGAGCAGGTAGTTGCTTCTCACATAAAATGGAAGATATCCTGGAAATATCAATAGTGTAGAAACAAATGTGCAGCATTTCGTCATCTTGTAACAGCACTTAAATGTTCAAACATCTTAGCTTTTGTTCTTATTGTAAGTTGAAATTCAAGTAAACAGATGTCATGCATTTCCCATTGGCTTGTACAAAAGAATGAAAACTGTTTTCCCCTTGAACTTGAAAAGACATCTTTAAAATCAACATGAAAATCTTCACAAGTATGACCCCTTTCTCCTTAACAGAAGATGTTAAGTAACGGAGCTTAGTATAAATATTAAATAATTAAGTTAAAAGAAATAGTTCATATAAATAAATAAATATGATCAATAGGCTTCTACAGTTCAGTTGAACGTTCTTTTAGTAGTACTGTGGGGTTGATATCATCTAGTCCAGAGTGGGAAGAGCTTGCATTAATGGTGACTGTTTTGGTGAGCTGTGGATCTTGAACACTGAATGAGGTAAAAGGACAGCCTTTCACATTATTGCAGATGAGAGACTGAATTGAGGCAGTGTTGATGATTTTAAAACCTACTTCTCCACCAAAAGTGCTGGGCTTCCAGTACTCAGGAGAACATATAGGATTACCCATCAGTCCTTTCAAGGAGAATGGTGCTCCAGCTTCTACCATGGTCTCCCCAAAGATGGCATCTGGACGAGGCTTTTCTACCAGAAGGGCAGGATACAGTTCCATGACATCAATGTCACCATAGAGTGCTTCTAACTCTGCAGCCATTTCCTTCTCTCCTGTGAAGGTGACATTGACAGAGATAGAATGTAAAACTTTTACGAAGTCAAAAAAATAATTTTACCCCTTTGCTCAATTTGCTTTCAACTACTCTGTTGTTTCCATTTGTCCCTGATTCTTTTAAGAAGTTTAGAAACTTTCTCACCTGTAAGTTCTTCAAATGATTCATAGGGCTTCAGTAGAAATCGTTTGCGGTACTCGTTAAAAGACTGGTATTTCATCTCTCTGCTCTGGTCAATTGAGGCCTTTGCTACTGTCTGTACTGCAGCTGGCAGATTCCTACCACCAGCAACCTGTGGAAAATGAATTAAATTGTAGAATATGAGTTTTAAGCATATTTATGATTTCCACTCTAAGAACATCCCTTGGGTATGAGGTAGATAAGACTGAGTCTCCCCGCTCACAAATTATTCAAGTGTGAAGTATTTATAGAATATCTCTATAATCTAGATGTTATTGGTAACATTATATTATAATCTAGCTTATGTCTTAGACTTCTTATTTCAAGGAGAAAATTTTACTAGCACATTACTCTTTTAGTAAGTTTAAGAAAAAAATGATTTCTGTTGCAGTCCTTTGTTTTGTTTGGTTTTTCAATAATAATGCTTACCCTCCCAGCAATTTGCCTGCTGAATGATTCAACAAACTGGGTGACGCCGTGTTCTAGTAAGATAGAGTTGTTGTAGATAAACTGCTGATAGTTGTACTCTTGGTCACCAATCTGAAAGCTGTCAGGCAGAAGGGGATGCCAGTGGTAGAGTGTGTTAAATTCAGCAGCAATACGGTTTTGGTACTGGAATTGTTGGTTGAAAAGTAGCTCTGGGTCAAACTTCAGTTTGAAGTGATAGCCACTCAAGTGCTGCACATAGTCTTCAATCACAATCTTAATAGTTTCTCCTGTGGGCACGCACACAAAATTTAGAACATGAATTCTTTCTGCTCACAAACTGTCAAGCCACACTGAAGTGCAGTTTTATTAATGTGCCATTCCTTCACTTTCTATGTTTTCCTTTTTATCATCAAAACAAAAGGTAGATATATCACCACTCAAGCTCAAGGATCAAATTAATGCGGAGCACATGATCTTACATTCACTACGTTCCTCAGAATAGAGAAAACCTAGCAAAGATTCTCCGGGGAAGAACACTTCCCCGGGGAAGAGAGTTTTGTTTAAATGATTTTCTCTTCTTGCTTTACCTATCAGTATGAGCCTGCTCGTCTGGAACAACCGCTCATCATCCCATTCTGGATGCTCCTGCTTCAGCACATCACACACTCTGTTGTGTTCCCGCAGCCAGATTGTGGCGTACATCATCAGACCAGGCACCAGACCAAAGAGCTCCTGCCCCACAGCAAACTGCAGGTGTTCAGGAACATGAGGAGGGTAGATCATCTCGACCTGAGTATCTTTGACTGTTGGAGGATACACCTCTCCACCAATTACCTAAAAAACAACAGTAATAAAAAAGAGGTTAAGAAACAAAATTCAATCATTAGAGATTTTGAATATAGGTAGGTGGTGAGTCATAACTAATTCTTAACATTTAAATGGAACAAACCTGATATTTCATTTTTCCATCCTTGAAAAGACGTAATTTATGCTGTCTCTCCAAAGATTCACCATAAACATGATTTAGGTCCACCTAGAAGATAATGGAAAAATTTCAGTTTGTTGTTTTGAAGTTGTTCTTATATAAAATGTCTGTGATGTATTTATCACTAAATAATTTGATGAGTTTACTTTAATTAAAAGTTTTCAACAACACACATTCTTTTTCATAGCCACAATAATAAATTAACTTACTTATCCACTGAAGCTACAAACCTATATGTGTCTCCAACGTTTAAAGGTATTATTGTCTCATATGGAACCTACATCATGTGCTTCACTATAATTATGTGGTATTCTTTTTAAAAGCATCATAAAATGTATTATTGATAAAAACTCTAATTAATAAGTTAAAGCTATATCATTGAAATCCAAGAGATAATAATGCTGCAAAAATCTCATCTTATAATAAAGCAAGATAATCAGGGTGTAAATGTTTTTGAATGTAACTTTTTGCAGTGCCAATATTTTAAACTAAAAGTATGAGCCAAATTGCAAATAATATCTTTATATATGTAAGTGTGTGTGTGTGTGTGTGTGTGTGTGTGTATTTTTACTAAACTAGTGAATTAAAATGGAAATTCTGTAAGGCTTTTATAGGTAGGACATTTTTAAAAAGAGGATCACTTATTTGGTATGGCAAATATATACATGGCCTTAGTGTTAACACTTCACTATGATTTAGTATAATTCTGATTTAACTCTGTCTTACCCCATGGTTCAGTCCTTTGGTGAAAGCTGGTCCTCGCTTATGATCTGTCTTGAAAAACTGATGGGTGAAGTGCTGGGCAAAGAATGCAAACATCATATTTGTGCCCTGGGGATCAGGGATGAACTTTCTTCTCAGAAGTAATTTTTCCACAACTTCTTTTGAATCAGGAAGCTCTTTCCTCCCTGAAAAATGAGAAAGCCAAGAGAAATACAATTGTGAACAGAGTCATAATATAAATGGAAGTTCAAAGATACAAGGGACAACTTCTTACTGAATACTTTTCTTTAACTAGTACTAACTCGGTTTTAATGAAAGAATTTGAAAACATCATGACATTACACCAAAATGCCCATTCACTTTCATGGAATTGTTTTACATAGATTCATACTTTCAAAAGACTCTCCTATGAGATATTCGTATGTTTTTATTAACAAATAAATGATAGTTTAGGGTCTAATTTTCTAGGTAGCAATCCAATCCCAGAATATATCTCTAACTGCTTCCTCTCACTCACCTTTCACACCCATGGGTGTTGGGCAGTCGTCAGCCACAGGAGGAAGAGCTCTTGTATAATAGGAGAGATTAGAAAAGGCTTCCCAGCTTTTATAGCCATAGTGTGCATTATAAGTTGGTGGGCTGTCAATCAGATTTGATCTTGCTGAAATTTCCAAGGGGGGGAAAAAAAACAAAAAAATTCCATTATTATTTGTTTCCATACACAAGGTAAATCAATGTTTATTTTTATTGTAAAGTGTGCAAAGTGGCACATTTAATTTGCCAGAGAATGAATTTAATTCCAAGAATGATCCTCTATTTTAAAACAATTATACTTTAAAGCCTAAGTGCCATCTGTACTCGAAAAGGAAAGAATGATTCATTAAAATGCATCTTTGATAAAGTATACATACTTTATCAGAAGGCATTATGGTCTACCATCTTGATTTTTCAAATAGGCATGCACTTACTATTCAAGAGGCCTATGAGAAGAATCTCTGGGCTTGGCACTCACTTTAGAAATAAAAAGTTATTTTCTTGCTGACCCCAATCCAAATTATCCACTTATTTTAATGAGTGCAATTCTGTGGCCCTAGGGCATTCAGTAAACAACTGGACCACACTTCCTTCACAAATTGGTAAGAAAAGTGAAGGTTAGAAGAGGTATGCAGGATTTTTAAGTAGAATTCTGACCATGAATCAGAACTTTATAAACTGGAAGGGCCTGAGTTGTCAATACTTTTGGCCAGTAAGGCAAACCAAAAAGGTGTATTTAAATGTTTTGGATTTGGTTTAAAAATCTAAAGTTTTATCAAGTACATTTTTCTTTGAGGCAGCTGAAAACCCTAGAGATTTGTACTTACATATCAACACGTATTTCATAATCATATTTCGCAGGAAGGAAATGTTATTGACAATGTTCCAGATTCCCTTGAAATGGGTAAGTATGTAGTGCACTGTGTTTGGAGTTGGTTTCAGGAGTAATTTTATTTTTGTCAGAAATTCAGCTGAAATGAGAGGGGGAAAAAAGAGGCAGAAATTAACAGGACTCGTTACAAGACACAATTCTGTAAAGTGGTAGCTGTATATATCGCCATTCTAAATGAGGGCACCGAATGGACAAACTTACGTGTTGAACAGTTTTCACCATAGAATCCTGTTCGGGTACAGTCACACTTATACTGGTCAAATCCTATGCTCATACATACACCTCGATTCTGGCATGGGTTGGAACAGCAAGGATTTGCTACAATAGAAGTAAGGACAGTAAATAAATCATTCTTCAGTGTCTTAATCTTGATGTAAACATTGAATTCTTTTACTTACTATGAGTCAACCTTACAATAAAAAAAATCAAGAAATATACAGGTGGTCATGGGAAAACAATTTTCTTTTTTAACTTGCCTCACAGAATGGTTATAATATAGAAATACCACCTTCCTATTCTAAATAAAGGTAATAGAATATTCCATCAGGGAAATCATGTTGCTAAGCTTTTCTTAGTAACTTTTTAGATGTCTGAATTAGCCTTTTTAAGAAGCTCAGAGAAGTAGGACTTTAAAAATTAAAGTGAATGGGTCTAGTACATTAATCAAAATTTAGCTTTTTTTTTTTTTTTGTCAAAACTGCAACTGTAGAAAGATCTAGAGGAAGAGCTTTCCAAGCTGATAAGGAAACAAGTACAAAGGTCCTGAGGCACGTTTGAGAGAGTGTGGCAGAAGCAGTGAGCAGGAGGTCGAAGGTGAGTTCAGAAAAGCCAAAGGCAGATTATATGGGTCTTACGGAAATCTGGGTTTTACTCCATGTGCCAAGGGCAACCACTGGATGGTTTACAGCATTAAAATGGCATAAGTTAATTTACATTAAAAAAAAACAAATTTAGGGAAATTTTCAAAGTAAAACCAGCTTGCTTTTAAAATATTTTGCTTATCTTAAAAAATAATCAGGGCTTTCCTGGGGTAGGAAAGCACTAACTAGGGTATTTAAAATAATTATTTCCATTCAATAACAGTAGATACTACACAAAAACGTTTCGCATATATTGATTAGACCCTGTTTTATCATAAAAACAATCTGCAAATTAGTATCGGTATTCCTACTTAGCAGATGAGAAAAGTGAGACTCAGACGGGTTAAGTAACTGGCCTGTGATGATCAGAGCTAGTGGCAAAGCTGGGCTATCAGTCTAGTTTGGACTCAAGTAGTCCAAATCTTTACCAAGTCATACAGTCTCTGTATTCCGAGGGTGTTCAGAATACCGGGAGGACCCGGGAGAGGTCAGAGCAGAAACTCAGCGCGGGTGTATGGAGTCGCGGAGTACCGGGCGCGGGGCGCCAGGTACTCACTCACCTGCACCGCAGAACGCCAGGGCGGCGCAGAGCAGCAGGGCGCGGGCGAGCATCTCCGCGGCGGGCGGGGCGCGGGCTGATGGTCCGACGGGCGGAGGCGTT